GGGGGGGGGGGGGTGAGGGATTCATCCCAGAAAGTATATTTAGTTTGACACCAGTATAGCTGTCAGAATTACTGTCCAACTAACACAAGAAGAACCTTAGATAAGTAGTTTGATGGACGAAGATGAAAATCAGCCTTATTTTCAATTACCTAATGCAATTTTTGCAGAAAATAAGAAATAACCACATAGCAGCTGAGAAAAAAAAACATGATGAACATACCGGCATACCAATGTAAACTATTCTACCATGGAGCAATAATGAGGGCAAGTCTGGTGGAGGCCTCCTTGGCCTGTGCTCGTTGTATGAAACTGACCTCTCCGCCTAATTCAAGAAACAAAATGACAAACCAAACTGCACCAATCAGAAAACAAAACAATCTACCTTTAGAGGAGTCAAAACTTGAGTAGTTAAAGATAAAGGCAAAACAATAAAGTCAAATAATAAACATTAATGGCAGTGCTGGAAAGCAATTGGAGAAGCAGACCATCAGAGTTGAAAATGCAACAGATTTATCAATTTACAAACAGAATCCCTACCGATTCAAAACATACTCAATTTCAGGCAGTAGCCATAAGCTTAGGGGAGACATAAATGTCTAAGTAGGGTGGCGTATCAGAATTTGGGGACCGATTGAATAGTGCTTATGGATTACTGGCAGCAACTGAGGCGAGCTTCTTCAGGAAGGGATCCTTAGGGTTCATTGGAGGCATTGGAATTTTGGTACTATTTTTGCTATTGCCTGCACATAGTGTGCTAAAACTTCGGTGTTTAAGTGGCGATGAAGAGCATGGAACTGAGGATGCCATGGGCAACCTTGAGCATGTGGCCATTTGTTGAAGTTAATTGATTTGTTGGTTTCTCTTTCAATTGAAGCTTTAGAAGCAGGAGGTCTGGAAGTATGAACTACATCAACGGATAGTGTAGCTGGAATGAGTAGGTGCCAATGCACTTTGGTTAGTTTCCTATATATATATATATATATGCTAAAAATAGGACCGTAATTAGTAGTAATACTATTCTATTTTCAAAACCCAACAATAGTTTCTTCACAAAACATATACAATCTTCAACAACTCTCACAAAATTAAGGATTTTGTCTTCTCCCTCACACAAACGCAAGTTGTTATTGTCCCCTTCCCACCCAACGGCCACCATCTATCTTTGCTGCCAACCACCACTGCTCCGACGGAAAATCGCCGAAGCTTCGTCGTAAAATTACATTTTTGTCCATTTTTTCTTCATCAGAATTTTTTTTTGGCCCAAATTTCTCTCAGCTTTGTAACGACTTGATAGATCGTTTTGAGTTCTAACCCATTTCGTGATTTCAGACCTTAAATAACTTCATTTGATGACTTATGACTTGTGTGCATGGTTCGTTTTAATTTTTGAAAATATTAAATGTGTTTTTACAATGAAATCTTGATTTCTCAACTTTAAAGTTGTTAGAATTAACCACGATCAATACTCTAACAACCTCGGATTAATATTTAACTATTTATATAGGTTTCTATGATTATTTTGGACTTGTACGTATGTTTGGTTTGGGTTCCGGGTGACCTGAGGCCGTTTCGACACTTATTGTTGAAAGTTGGAATTTGCATCTTTGAGTTTTGATGCTTGATTCTTGATTGTAGATGTTATTTTGATATTTTGAGCTTACGAGCGAGTTTGTGTGAGGTTTATATACTTGTATGGATGTTTGGAATGGAGATCGAGGGGCTCACGTGAGTTTCGAATTAGTTTTGTGTTGATTTTGCTAAGTTTCCATTGTTGGCGCTATAGTCATCGCAATTGGGATGAGCTGCTAGCAAATCCGAGATTCGCAATTGCGAACAACACCTCGTATTTGCGAAGTTTGGGAAGGGGAGGTCAACTTCGTAATTGCGAAGCTCGGATTGCGTTGCGATGCTCACAATTGAGAAGCAAGTGTCACATTTGTGACTCTATGGCTCAAGCCCTCTTCGTAATGCGACCAATGGTTCTCATTTGCAAGCTAGTTCATAATTGCGATATCCGCAGCTACGATAAAAATAAGGAATTTCTGAATTTCCTAAACTATGTAAGGAGGTGATTTTGGAGAGGATTTTTTTTTTCCCAACTTCATAGGTTAGTAACATTAACTTATTTTTTATTAATTTCTATTATTCCCCATAGATTTTCACCCCTATATCTAGGATTTCATACAGTTGAAATAGGATTTTGGGTAGAATATAGATTTTTTATTTTAGAGATTTAAACCTCGATTTAAGGTCGGATCTCAAAATAAATTATATATTTGGACTCCGGGATGAATGGGTAATAGAAATTTATTCTTGATTTCGATTCGACCAAGTAGGCCTGGATTGACTTTTGTTAACTTTTCCAATTATATTAAAGATCGAACTCTTTTTATACTATGGTAGTTCCCAAAGCTTGTTTTGACTTATCTAAATATTGGTTGACTAGATTCGAGCGGTTTGGAGGCTTGTTTTAAAGGCAAGGCCATATTGGAAAGTTGACTTTATCCGAAAAAGGTAAGTATCTTGGTATACCTTGATTTGAGAAAATTAGGATGTAATTAGGTCTATTTGCTACGTGTTACATGTGTTGGGGGTGGCGCATATGCAAGGTGACGAGTGAATATACATTTATTATGTGTTAAGTATGCAGGTAGAATAGCTTTATTTATGTTATGTTGCTTTATGCATTATGTCTTCCATGCTCTAAATAGATTATGGAACTCATTGGTTGTTCTTATTCTTGTTATTAGCTATGTTGAGTTTGTTGAGATATTGGGCGTTAAAATTCTTGAAATGTTGTCTTGGCTATTTGTGTAAAAGTGATGGTTACCATGTAGTGTGTTATATTTAATCACTATTCTTGGTGTTGTTGGTGCTTCCCACCTTGCTTGGTATTGTTTTATATATTTATGCTTGGTGAAGAAGATTAAATTGCAAGAAGGGTCTTGTGAGGAAGAGTGATTATGGACGAATGGTGGTTTCATGTTTCTTGATATTATCATTATTGCACGAAAGGTGTTTCTGTCCTTGTGAGAAAGAGTAAATATGCAAAACGGTGTTTCCGTAATTGTGAGGTTGAGAGAGAAATGCACGAAGAAGGTTACCATGCTATTTTACATGCTCTTTTATTCTTTGCTTTTACTATGAGGATTGAGGACTTGTCTATGTTGCTTCATGGGTGCCTTGTTATTCTCCCGAATTTGAGTTGTTACGAAAGATTTGGTTGTGTTATTTGAGAAAATATGGTCGTTATTTCTCTTTGTCGTTTCTTCACTAGTCCTTGCACTTCTTCACTTGCCATCTTACTTGTTATTTCACTTGTTATCTCATTTGTCGTTTCACTTGTTATATTTCTTGCCATCTTACTTGTTATCTTACTTGTCATCTCACTTGCTATCTAACTGGTTAATTCCACATGTTATCTTACTTGTTCTATCTCTTGTTATTTAAATGCACGATTTATAGGGTAGGTGTCTTGTCTTATCCTCATCACTACGTTATCGGGATTAGGCTCGACATTGACTATGTACATGGGGTCAGTTATACTCATACTATACTTTTACACTTTTTGTGCATATTTGGGCATTGGCCCTAGCGACATTCAAAAGGGAGCATAGCTTGGACTACAAGGAGACTCAAGGTAGTGTTGCATTCTCGTCTAAAGGCCTTTAAGTCACATTTTTGTAATTTCTATTACTATTTAATTGTATCAAATGATATTATATTTCTTTCAGACTATGCATTTAGTAAATCTTTAGATGTTCATGTACTGAGTGATACCAAATCTTGGGAGGTTACTTTGATGGTCGTTTGGTTTAGACTCATTGTGAATTGTGGGGATTTTACTCTCATTCACATGCTGTTATATGTTAGTTTTATATCTCTTGTTGTGGTTGAGTGTTGACTTGCCTAGCAAGTAGTGTTAGGCGTTATCACGATGTCTTGTTGGGATTTTGGATAGTGAAAAGTTGGTATCAAAGCACTAGGTTTCACGAGTCATGAGCAAGCTTCATAGAGTCTTGAGGATCGGTACAGAGACGTATGTACTTATCTTCGAGAGGCTATCAGACTTTTAGGAAACTTCACTTTCTTTCTTTCTATATCGTGTAACTTTGTTCTATCCTGAGTTTCAATCTCCATTCTCTTATTCTCTTACAAATAGTGAGAAAATATGTGTTAGCCGTAGCCGATCAGGAGCCGGAGCCCCAAGTTATAGCCGCCACGAGGGGGCAGAGGCAGACGTAGAACCTAGCCTAGGGAACGTGCAACAACACCTGCAGCTACTCATGCTTGTGCTAGAACAACGACAATAAAGCCTCAGATAGCTCTAGAGGATGAGCAGATTCCAATCTAGGTTGAGCCGGTAGGGCTAGCTTGGGTCCTAGAGGGGTTCATCATTAGCCTAGTGCTTTAGAACGCATTGGTCTGCATGGTTGACGTTATGAAGAGCATGGTTCTAGAAAGGGTGCTTTCTATGGCACCAGCTATTTCTTAGGCCGGGGGAGGAGCTCAGAATCCCGCTACTCGTAATCCCGAGTAGATGACTCATAGATATCAGACCCCAAGAGTGTTTGCAGTTGGGGCATTTATCCCTGTATCATGCTATCTTGGATTATCACACCAAGAATATGACTTTACCTATGCTGGGGTTGCCTAGAGAAGAGTGGAGAGGGGCCTTGGCCATTCTACGAGTAGGGTAGTTTCATTTTTGAAGGCTCGACGTATGGTTGAGAAAGGGTGTTTAGCGTATTTGGCTTACATTCGAGATTATAGTGCGGAGGTTCCTTCTGTAGATTTAGTACCAGTTGTGAGAGAGTTTTCGGAGATGTTTCCGACGGATTTACTGGGCATGTCACTCATTATAGATATTGAATTTTGTATTCACTTGGTTCCGGGCACTTAGCCTATTTCTATCCCACTATACTATATGGCTCCAACCGAGTTGAAGGAATTGAAAGAGCAATTGCAAAATTTATTTAATAAAGGATTCATTAGATCGAGTGTTTCTCTTTGGGGTGCACCGATGTTTTTTGTGAAGAAGAAGGATAGTTCTACGAGGATGTGCATTGATTATCAACAGTTGAACTAGGTTACTATCAAGAATTGTCACACCTTCTTTTTACCAACACTCCTCGAAGGGTGTATAAGGGAGTTTTTCCAACTTAAAGTGACAATCGAAATGGGATTATTTTATTTAAAATTCAGAGTCGCCACTTGGGATAATTTATGGTGTCCCAAGCCACCGGTTCAAATCCCCAATCGAGAAAAAAATTGATTCTGTTTAGCAGTCCGCGAACCAAAAATCTGGGTAAGGAATTCTGTTAACCCGAGAGAAGGTGTTAGGCACTCCCGAGTTCCGTGGTTCTAGCACGGTCACTCAACTGTTATATTCGGCTTAATTATCCGATTTTAAACAATTATGAACCTATGTGCAAATTTTAGTTTTTAACCGCTTTTATTCATTTTTAGGAAGATTGCAACGTTATTAAAACACGTCTTGAACCACGTCACATAAATGCACCCGTGGTCTTTGACATATTTTAATATTGTTGAGATTTGCATTTGGGTTGCATAAATGCGCACCCGAATTTAGGAAGGTAGTTTTATTAAAATGACGCGCCTAGAGCAACTACGCTTTAGCAACTTTGCGGGGGCCATAAAAATTAGCTAAATGACACGCCTCGAATTCTAAGGACTTTAAAATACTAATTAAGCGAGGGCCATGCATTTTAAGATTTTATTTGGCACGGCACGCCTCAAATTATTTCACAGAGTCTCATTATTTGAAGTTTTTATAATCGAGTTACATGAAATGCACCCCCGAATTTGGGATTATGTATCACAACTACGTCACGGGAACCGTACTTGTAGCTATGATAATTTTATTGTAACGTGCCTAAAGCAACTAGCGCTGAACTAAACTGTGGGATTATTATGCAACCCTTTTACTTAAACTTGAACATCAATTCTTCTAAGGATCCAAACCAAGCCTACAACCCCTTAAAGCTAACAAAATCATGCAATTCATACGGCCGATATTAGATTTCGTCTTAACAGATCTTTCATCTTCCTAATTAATCATAAAAATTCAACAAGTATTTTACAAACTGCTTCATCAAAACAAAAGAAACAAGCAAACAAATAAAATTCTGAATTTTAATACACCACTAGGAAGGCAGTAAATCAATACGACCCAACATATAAACACAATGAATGAATCATGACATGAACACACTCATACATACAAGCAAAGCATGCTAAGAAAAATATCAAATAAAAGTGCACTTCAATAAGCAATGATTTTCTTCAGTAGTTGATTGCACAAACGGAAAAGAAACTCCAGGTAAATACCTCGGCAATACAGGTTACTGGAAATTGAAAGCAAAACCTTCGACTGGAACACCAAACGGGCGACCTCGATGGGCTCGACTCAAAACCTTGGCTAATTTTGTGTGTGTTTCGTGCTGCTTTGAGCTGTTGTTTCAGATGGTTTTGTAGCTGAGTTTACCACTGGGTTCGAACTCGGCTTTCACCGGACTCAATGGAGGGTCGTCGGAGTTATGAGATGAAGAAACTGTTGGAAATTTTCGATCCCTTCCGTTTCTAGCTGCTCAGGTCTTTTATTTTTTCTTTTTGGATAAGAGGAAGCTGATGCTAGGGTCTCAATTTTGTTCAAGAACAGTAGCTCATGGAGTCGTTGCTCTTTGCTTCAGACGAAACCATTGAAAATGGCATAAGAAGAAGAAGATACTCGATCGAGGGGGTGGGGTTCTCTGAAAGCGGCGCTCTAGCTTTAGGATATCTTTCGGATCTTTTTTCCTTAGGT